AAAGCTTTACAAATCTTTAGAAATCTTTGATATGAAATCATCCTTCAAGTCATTGTTATAATGTCAATGAAAAAAAAACCACAATATTCTTAATATATTAAATTGATTGATTCGCTATTTTATCCCTTAAGATTGAATTTGAACTGTCAACGATAGAAAATGAAAATCTCTAAGTTTAGTAGATAATAACCAATCTTTTTCTTTTTTTGCTGCGCTATAATTTTTTTTTTTTTTTTTGTTTCTACGGTATTTGCTATCTTTTTTTTTTTTTTTTTTTTGATCTAATGGGCGTTTTTTAAAAAGTATCACAGATTTTGCCTACGCAACCATGGTCGCTTCAGCCATGCAGAAATATTATAGAAACGTGATTATTATATGAGATTTATGTTATCTTCGATTAAATTTAAAACCTTGGTGAAATTCGCAATATCTTATCTAAAAAGGATTACTGTATTACAACTGAAATTGTTCATTCATGTGATGGTGCATTTTACATAATGATACCTAACAATAAATTCTACACTTAAATTCCGTTCTCACTTTCAACATATACTGTATATCCTGTTATTCGATAAATTTTTTTATAATTAACATAACTTTAAGCTATGGAATCATCTTATAATAAATTTCAAAAATATATTACCAAAGAGCATATTAAGTGTTATGATTATACTACATTTAGAAACGCTAGATTAATTAGTTTTGGAGAATTTGAAGATGTTAATAGAGTTATTTTTAAAAGAGATAAAACTACTGTCGTATTAAAATCATTTAACTCTAATGGCAATAATAACTATGCAATTATTAAAGAAATTATTAACGAGGTAAAATTAATTTGTAATTAAGTTATCTCGTAATCATCTTTATAATTCTATAATCTGTATAGATTAAATTATATCGTAAAGTTGATATACACCCTAACATCATACGGTTTCATGGCGTTACTAAAAAAGAAGGTAAAAATGACAAGAAATTAGATTGTTTTATATATTTTAGCGTAATAGCTTTACATTAATTCATAAATTATCATAAATAGATAATGTAAACACAAATACTATACCTTACATGCTGGTTCTTGAATATGCAGACAGTGGGACTTTGGAATCATATTTACGTGAAAATTTTAAATATCTTACTTGGAATGATAAGATTAGGTTCGCACTGCAGACTGCAAGTGCTGTTAGATATTTACATTCTAAAAGAATAGTGCATCTTGGTTTGGTAATGTTTGAAACTTGTTTAAATAATATCTAATTTATTCATTTATTTATTTATTTAATCAATTCAAATTTTAATAGAATTCAAATAATATACTTATACATCAAAATAATATTAAACTTTCAGACATCGGACTTTCGAAAAGATTAACTAAATTAAAATCAAACTTGAATCTTCGAGAAATTCCTTATATGGATCCACAATATTTTATAAAAAATCATGATTTTAAATTTGATAATAACTCTGATGTGTATAGTATTGGTATTCTTATGTGGGAGATAGCTAATGGTCATCTCCCTTTTAAAAATATTATTGATGCTAATGCATTAATACGTAATATTGTGAATGGACTTCAAGAAGATCCATATCATGAAGCTCCACATCAATATATTAAAATTTATACAGGTTGTTAATAAATTATTTTCTATTATTTAATTTATAAGTTATTATTAAAATATTAAATTAATTATTTAATAATTTTAATAATTTTAATAATAGAATGTTGGCAAGGTGCACCTGAAAATCGTCCAACTATTCAAAATGTTGTTTTAAATTTAAAAGCATTAATAGCATCTACAAATAATCCTACTTTATTACAAATTCCGATTCAACCACAGAATTATTCTATATCACAAAACTCTACCTCATTACATAATAATTTCTTATTGCAAAGTTTTACATCATCTCAGAATCTTAACTTACAAAATTCTATTCCACAATTAAATTTTCTTAATGAGTCAACTACTCCCTTAGGACCTATACAATCCTTCAATGAATTTTTATTACTTCAGAAACAACGAAAAGAAGCGCAAATATACTTCAATACAAAAGACTATGTTAAAGCATTAGAGCTCTGGGAAATAATTCTTATGAATCCTCATCATACTTCAGAAGATCAGAAAAATGCGTCAGTGTGGAATTTAGTAGATTTATGTTTTGAAGCTAGAGAATTAAAGTCATTAACAGAAGCTTTACGCAGAAATTCTACCTTAAAGTCTTTAAATTTAAGTACGAATAGCCTTGATTTTGAGGGAATTAAGACATTAGCGGAAGCTCTCTGCAGAAATTCTACCTTGACATCCTTAGAAGTTAATGAAATTGATTCTATGAGAGGAAAAGCATTTGCGGAGGTTCTTTGCAAAAATTCTACTTTAACATCCTTAAATTTGCATTTTTATGACATTGATTTTGAGTGTATGAATGCATTAATGGAGGACCTCTGCAAAAATTTCACCTTAACATCTTTCGATTTAGGATTTCGTTTCCTTGTCTCTGAGAAAAGAAAAGTGTTAGAAGTATTAGTAGGGGCACTCTACAGAAATTTTACCTTAACGTCATTAAACTTATCATTTAATAACCTTGATTCTGAAGAAGGAAAAGCATTAGCGGAAGCTCTTTGCAGAAATTCTACCTTAACATCCTTAGATTTACGTGGTAATAACCTTGATTCTGAAGGAGGAAAAGCATTAGCGGAAGCTCTTTGCAGAAATTCTACCTTAACATCCTTAGATTTAGAAGTTAATAACCTTGGTTCTAAGGGAGGAAAAGCATTAGCGGAAGCTCTTTGCAGAAATTCTACCTTAACTTCCTTAGATTTATATGGTAATAACCTTGATTCTGAAGGAGGAAAAGCATTAGCGGAAGCGCTTTGCAGAAATTCTACCTTAACATCCTTAAATTTAGGATATAATAACCTTGGTTCCGAAGGTGGAACAGCATTAGCGGAAGCTCTTTGCAGAAATTCTACCTTAACATCTTTAAATTTAGAAGTTAATAACCTTGGTTTTAAGGAAGCAAAAGCATTAGCGGAAGCTCTTTGCAGAAATTCTACCTTAACATCCTTAGATTTATATGATAATAAACTTCTTTTTGATGGAAAAATTGCATTAAAGAAGATTCTCTATATAAATTCAACCTTAACACCCTTAGATTTAGAATAATAGCAAAAAGCAATTTAATATTTTTGAATTGAGAAAGAACAGCATTACTAATTCTTAATTCATGAACTATATCAACATTTAATCATTAAGAAAAGAATGTTATAATTTTTAAAACATTAAATAAATGAAGGTTAATGATTTTTAAAATAGTCAAATTTTATTTATACATATGAAAAAAACAATAGTCTCGATATCATTAAAGAAAAAAACTTTATATAATTTATCTAATAAATACATTATGCATTTAAAAATAAATAAATCAAATATATTGGTTGTGCTTGATGAGCTTCTTATATTTGGGATTATGATTTATAATAACCAGCGTAGCAATTTAAAGGACTCTATTATTATAAATGTAATGTAATGGAATGGTTTAAGAATATTATTATAATAATTTAGAACTTCCAAAAAAAAAAATTGAAATATTCTCAAAAAATAAAGTATTAGTTTTAAAATAAAGAGCATAAATTTTAAATTTTTTTTGTTCTTAAAAATATTTTAACAAGAGTCGTTCAACAATTTTTATTCATATGATCTAATTTCTGTTAAAGTACTCTGATTTAGATTTGACTATATTAAGTCTTTATTATGTGTCGAATTAAATATTTAATGTGCAGAGCTGCATGTTATAGGTCAAATCAAGGCTGATAATTGATCTAATATAAGTGAATAAGAGTAGAATCAGGCTAGTATATTGTCACGTAAGGGGAAGCTACGCAACAGAAACAGAAGAACGTTAGAAAATTTTCCCATATCAGATTAGAAATATACAAAAAATACTTCTAGCTCCTAGAGATAGTGCGTGTACTGTATATTATAATAGTTTGAATGAATTCTTTCAGCTAGCGTAATATACAGCCAATTCTCTAAATGCACACCCTTAAGTAAGAAGGTAGCCGGTCAAAATCCCGACAAACAGAATCCCGAAAAGGTCAAAATTCCGACAGATTAGCCGCATTAGAGTTAGGGTTAGTGATTGTACCCGTATAAGAGTCACCTGGGTAACCCGTCTAAGACCTGTAACCGGGTCATGACTATTGCTACCCGGGTGACTCGAATAGTGTTGGATTGTAAATTAGTGTCTCGTTATAAGTCACAGGTTTTTCATTAAATTATAATAATTAAATGTTAGAAATATAAAACATACAAAGTTAACCATTGAACGACAAGTCCAAGCATCCTCCCTATTTCTCTTTCTTTTCTTTT